CTGGAGCACCCGAGGAATGTCGGCTCGCAAGCCCACGCTGATTAATGAGCGCTGGCCGGCGGCCGACACGCAACCAAACGACGGCGAGGCGGTCTGCTGCTGATGCCTGCCTGAGCATGCGGCCGATGATTTCCTTATTGCGACAGCTCAGCTGCGGCACAGTCAATGTCTGACAATGCAAACGTGCATGCCTAGAAATGTAGCCAGGATTCGAACCTTACGTAACCCACTTCCAGTATGGATTTTCTTGATAAAGGGACTAGACATTCTCTTAGTTTGGTCGATGATAAACGACCCATAATTCGGTGGGCCCAGCCTGCCGCCGCGGCAAATGGCCCCATGTTGGAACAAACCCTCGGACGACACCTGTGACCTCTACCGTCCGACGAGGTCACGTGTCCGTGTCAGGCCAGTCATTCTTCATAGCTTAAACGCATAAGGTCGTCTGCGAGGTCGATATCAGGCTAAATGACCGCCGGCACTCGGACACGGCTGTTTCATTCCAAACCGGACTACGCGTCGCCAAGGCTGACAAAGAGCCGGGATAGCTAGCCAAGTCCGAGTCAGTTGACCCCAATTTTAGACTAAGTCTGCTCTAAATGGTTATGCTTTGGTTAGGCAATCCCCAGCGTTGCCTCCGATCCCTCCAATACATCGGCCCGACTCAGGCACTGTCCAAAGTCAACACAGACCTTTAAGGTCGACCTCAGGCTAGCCAGCGTCTCAGCGTTCCCTCCGATCCCTCCAATACATCGGCCCGACTCAGGCACTGTCCAAAGCCAACACAGAACTTTAAGGTCGACCTTAAGCTAGCCAATGTCCCAGCGTCGCCTCCGATCCCTCTAATGCATCGGCCCGGCTCAGGCACTGTCCAAAGCCAACACAGACCTTTAAGGTCGACCTCAGGCTAGCCAGCGTCTCAGCGTTCCCTCCGATCCCTCCAATACATCGGCCCGACTCAGGCACTGTCCAAAGCCAACACAGAACTTTAAGGTTGACCTCAAGCTAGCCAATGTCCCAGCGTCGCCTCCGATCCCTCTAATACATCGGCCCGGCTCAGGCACTGTCCAAAGCCAACACAGACCTTTAAGGTCGACCTCAGGCTAGCCAGCATTCAAGCGTTGCCGCCGGCAGGGGCGCTGCTGGGTCAGCAGCGCCGCGCCGCCCCGGCCGGCCATGTGCGACTGCGGGCGGCGTCCAGCCTGACCTCGCGCGCCCAGAGCGGCCTGATTTATGGCCGCGGAAGGCGGCCCGTTTGGCGACAGCCCGCTCCGATTAGGCTCGGCTGGCTCGAATGCAGAGGCCCTTACGTCTATGGCGGTCCGACGGCGTATGCCACGAGCGTGCCGGTCCGGGTGAGTCTGTCACTGAGGGTACCGGCTCGGGTGAGTCTGCCACTGAGGGTGCCGGCTCGGGTGGGCCTGCCACTGAGGGTGCTGGCTCGGGTGGGTCTGCCACTGGGGATGCCGGTTCGGGTGGGTCTGCCGCTGAGCATGCCGGCTCGGGTGAGTCTGCCACTGAGGGTGCCGGCTCAGGTGGGTCTGCCGCTGAGGGTGCCGGCTCGGGTGGGTCTGCCGCTAAGGGTGCCGGCTTGGTTGGGCTGGGTGCTGAGGGTACCGGCTCAGGTGAGCTGGGTGCTGAGGGCACCGGTTCGGGTGAGCTGGGCGATGCCGGCTTGGTTGGGGGGGGGGGGGGGGATTGGGGTCGGGTCGAGGAAGTACGTCGAGTGCTAGTGTGGCGCATGGTTGCGTATGTCGGGTGCAGTCCGTTGGGTGCTGGGATGCGTTTGGTTGGAATGTAACAGGTGCTGGGCTGAACAGGCTTGGGCGGGGCTAACAGATTGTATTCGATCGTTTTGGCTGAGTTATGTGTATGGGGCTATTTGTGAACGCGCGTCCGGGCGGGCGGTTGGATGCCTTTCGCTCGGGTGCGGGGTCAATTTACCCCCAGAGACCTCAGGAACTAAGATAGCTAGACGCACCACATTCGCAGGGTATGTTGGCCTGTGCGTAAATTCATTTGGTCAGAGCTTCAGGCTCCTAGGTCATGACCTTCAGGTCAAATCAAATTCCAATTTGGTCTCCAAAGTGTCCCCTGAACCTAGATACCTGTTCCTGGGAAAGGGTCACACGCTCATCAAAGATCAACGACCTTGTTTGACCTTTTAAAGGTCATGGTGACCAAAATAATACAAGACTGCGTTGAATTTTGCATTTGAATAGCAATAAACATTATCCTAGGCTGTATCTTCCTTGCAGCAAAATGTTGACTTAGGTCATTGTAGATCAGTGGCCTATTCGGACCCTTAAGAAGTCCATGAAAGCGGTTCCTGAAAGCGGTCCGTAATGCGGTTCCTGAAATTAATCAGGTCGGTTTTGACCTCGGTCTGATGTTTATACCTTACCAAAGGTCAGTGAAATTTGTTAATCCAATTGTTGTGTTGTTAATAAATTATTTTCAGAGATGTATGTATGGCTTCGTCTAACACTCCATTGCCGTGTCACAATGAACGATTCCCTAGTAGTTGACTTCGCTGAATTCATGGTCTGACTTTGACCTACCGTAGGTCAGCGACCTTACGGGGTACATCTAAATTTTTATAGCAAACGAACCGCTATTCAATTTCTGACAGTTATCCAAAATTTGGCGCGGCTGCGCCACGCCGTTCGGAAACCATTCCCGAAAAGCCTTCGGGAGAGGATCAATTTGACCCCTACCCGGGAGCGTGTTAACCCGCGAACGCCAGCATGGGGTGGGAAGAAGGACGGCAAAACATCCTTCATGCGAATTTTGAAACACCTTTCAAACCATAAAAGGTGACGCCGAAATCTCCAGCTCCTAACCTGGAAATAATTTAAGCAGTCTGGTGTAATCGCGCTTGGTGCTGTGCCAGGTCACTGCGTTATGACCGACAGTTATGACGTCAACAGTGAGGGCATGTGGGCGCAAAATGGCCCGGAGCCCATGCGCCCTTGAATTCCAAAACAGTATCCTGGTGAAGGCTTGCACGCCGATTTTTCTTTCTCCCCTTGCAGTCGTTCTGGTTTGGGATTGTTTTAGCCTCATCCATCTACTAGTTTGATTGTCTGCCACCCAGGCTCGGTTACAATGGCGGCGCTGGAGGTCCCACGCCAGCTCACCATCGGGATCAGCTGAGTTCAACGTATGCGCGTCGAGGTATTCTGCGTGACCTATGACGTCCCACGTTACGCAATGGACGTCAGCTAATGCTGGCGGGCGAGGCGAGATGGCTTCGACCAGCGATCGCCGTTTGAACTCCTTTCGAGCCCGGTAATTGGCTTCTGAGTGTCAGGTGCTGATCGCATGTAAGCTCCCAGGTGGTCGCGGATGGCGAAATACGCCAGGTGGTGCCGGGCTCACTTTGATGTAATGCTGAAGAGAGTGACGTCCTCTGTTAAACGGAACGTCTCACCGTGATATGGGGCTTTGAACCGACGTAGCCCGATTGTGGAACGCGAAGACTTTGCTCACCATATACCCTGATGAATTTCCGACGCTCCAGCTCCTCAGGCTGAGCACCATCAGTTTAGTGAAATGCATCGTTCACTTCGCACACATCACAAGGGACGCTGACGCCCTGCATAGGCCTAAAACACTCCGGGTATGGTTGACGGATGTCATGAGCGGCGGCCGTGGCAGACGCCAGCTTCGACACGACCGGCAGAAGTGTCATTATGTACAGTCTGACAGAACGAGACGGTAAGTCGCCCTCACGAAATGCTTTTCCCGCACTCTTTGTAACGAATAGCAGGAACATTTTCAGTACGCTCTGGTTAATAACACTTTGTCCTTGTCTAATTACCATCATAGAAGTAATGCCGCACTTATGGCCGTCAGCTGACAGGCCTGCCTGTGTCGGTTTGTCACCGGCAGAGGGAGACACGACCTCAGAATGACTGGCTGTCGCAGGCGTCGTCCGTCAGGGTCACATTAGCCAAAGACGGCGGTCAGAAGGTCTGTCTCTGATCAGAGACGGCGGTCAACAGGCTTGTCTTCGGTCAGAAACGGGGCCAGCTAGCTTGTCTCCGATCAGAGACGGCAGTCAGCAGGCCTCTCTCTGGCCAGAGACGGCGAGCACCAAGCTTGTCTCCAGTCAGAGACTGCTGTCAGCAGGCTTGTCTCTGATCTGAGACGGCAGTCAGCAGGCCTGTCTCTGTCAGAGACGGGGCCAGCAGGCCAGTCTCTGATCAAAGACGGCGGTCAGCAGGCTTGTTTCCGGTCAGAAACGGGGTCAGCAGACCTGTCTCCGGTCAGAGACGGGGTCGGCAGACCTGTCTCCGGTGGAAGACGGGGTCAGCAGACCTGTCTCCGGTCAGAGACGGGGTCAGCAGGCCTGTCTCCGGTCAGAGACGGACCAGCAGGCCTATCTCCGGTAGGGACGGGGTCAGCGGGCTTGTCTCCGGTCAGAGACGGCAGTCAGCAGGCCTGTCTCCGGTCAGAGACGGGGTCAGCAGGCCTGTCTCCGCTCAGAGACGGTGGTCAGCAGGCTTGCCTCTGGGGCACCGTCAGCGGAAGCAATGTCAGCCAAGGCTTGCACGAAGATGGCGGAGTCAGGCTGTCGGGTTCGCTGTTTGCTTTGGGTTGCACTGTAAGACACAAACTCTCAGTTTCGTCCACATTCAGACTTCCTAAAAAGCAGCTGAGTTAACATCAGCCCCCTAAATGTTACCGCATTCGCACACGCGTCACCTATGACTTCAACCTTTGACCATAAGACTGACACAGACCCAGACAGCTGCTCACGAGATACAATCCAGCTCGCACCAACACCCGCGGAGACGGGCAACTGTCAGTCCTGCGGTTATTGCGGACCGTCCAGGTGTTTCTATCCTCCACAAGCTATTCGCTTCCCACAAGCTTCGGCCGCTTCGCAGAATCAACGCGGGGGTTGGATTTCATCTGACGCAAAAACGACCGCAACCCAGGTCTAGGTTCACACATTGTTGCTGGTCCCACCCAAAACACACAAACGACTCTGGTACATGTTGTTATTATCAATGCTACAAGTCGATGCACATTATCACACGAATCTCGATTGACACGCAATTGCGCAAACAAGCAGCGGACGTCTCAAAGTTCATCTGGACCGCGGAGAAAAAGTCTGACGTGCTTCTAAGCCACATCCGTGTTTCCCACCATCGCCATCCTCTTCCGAGAAGTTATCACACCATCGCCGCCCCTGGCCGCCTGTCCACGAGTGCCGCCTGCACGCGGCGCCGCTCGGCGGGGCAGCTGAACACCACGCCACGGCGCGCTGAGGTACACGTGAGATCAGGGTGACAACACATCGGGATCTCCTCGACCGGCTGCTGACGCCGGAGAACGGAGCAGGTGCGAGCCCGGCGAGCTCGACATCGGGTGCCCAGAGCGGGGGGGGGGGGGGGGCCGACACCGGCTGCCCAGCGCGGGGGTCGACACCGGCTCCCCAGAGCGGGGGTCGACACCGGCTGGCCAGAGCGGGGCGCTGGACACGGACCCCGTCTGGACACCAGCTGCTGGGAGCAGGGGGCTTGACACCAGGTGCCGAAAGCGGGGGGTGGGGAGGCGTGACACCAGCTACCGAGAGCGCCGGTCGGCCCGTCGAGCAGCCGGGTGGCTTGTGCGCTATGACAGCAGCGAGGCCCTGCCGGGCCCGTTCCGTCCGAGCAGGACGACCCGGGCCCGCTACTGCCAACGCTGCACGGACCTGCTCCTGGATGACGTCTGTAGAGGCGTCATCTAAGAACGGAGCGGGTGACGTCATCGCCTCCGTCCGCCCCCGGGTCGCACCACACAGGGCCTCTCGCTGGCAGCTGCAGTGGTGGAGGACGCCAGCGCGTCCAGAGCATGCCGGGAGAGCCGTGCCTCCGGCTCCGTCGGCTCCGGCGCTGGCCTCAGGGGACCAGGTACGATCAGCTGGCGAGCACCAGGGACATCCCGGCCAGCCCAGGACGGGGCTGGCCGGCGCCGGCCGCCGCCACCGCCGGCCAGGCGGGCACGGTGTTGTCCCAGGTCGGCAGGTGGCCGGCCTCGTAGCGTTCTCTTGTGCAGCCACTGTCAAGGCGGGGTCGTGTGCACGTTCAGCCGGCGCGCGCCGCCGCCCGTCACAGACGCAGCTTGGCTTTCTGAAGCACAAACGCATACATATGGATTCGGTTAGAGCTTGCCCAACGGTGGGATTTATCTTAGTCCCCGGTGGGCTTTTAGTTCAGACGAGCCGGAGGGGCAAGTCCATACGCGGGGTCATATCGCATCTGACGTACAACCAGGCCACATGCAAACAGTCAGAAGTTATGCAACACCAAAACGGGACAACAAATACAACCTGCGATGTCTTGACACCAGTTCTGAACTGGTTCTCTCCACGGAGCAACGTTAACTACCTGCGGATCAGTTCTGAGGCCCACAGTACGCACGACAGGACATGGTGAGATGCGGCGTCACGGTCCGGCCGCAGGTCTCCATCCGTCGCCCGGCACAGGGGGCCGCCCGGGCCACCGCCGCGGCCGGACGGACCGTCGGCAGAGCGGCGGAGCGATGACCGAGCCCAGCCGCCCGCGCGGCCGGACCGTTCCCCGGCCGGCCGGACCCCATGCACCCCGGGATGGAGCAATCAGGGGCGAGTACGCGCCGCCGACGGCCGGCTGGGACGGGCGCGGCCCCCCGACCAGGGGCAGCGGCATCAGACAGGCCCGCCCCCTCCCCCCGCCCCCGACCACGGGCGGCGACGGCATCAGACGAGCTCGGCCCACCGACCAACAGCGGCATCAGACGGGCCCGGCCCCCCGGACCAGGGGCAGCGGTTTCAGACGGGCCCGGCCCCCCGCCCAGCGGCGAAGGCATCAGACGGGCCCGGCCCCCCGACCAGCGGCAGCGGCATCGGACGGGCCCGCCCCCCCCTCCCCCCCCCGGCCAGCGGCGACGGCATCAGACGGGCCCGGCCCCCCGCCCAGCGGCGACGGCATCAGACGGGCCCGGCCCCCCGACCAGCGGCGACGGCATCAGACGGGTCCGGCCCCCCGACCACCGGCGACGGCGGCATCAGACGGGTCCGGCTATTATCGTGCGGACCAAATGCGGGGCAATAGCAGTGCCTGGTGCCTGTAGTGGGTTTAATGAAAACTGACCAGTCCACCCGCCTCCTTGGCTTTCTTAACCACCTTCTTCTTGTCTTCCTGTATCTGCTTCATTTTCTTCGTCGTTTCCTTCACACTGAAAGGAGTGAACACGTGAACGGACCATGCAGACGCTTAGTTCATAAACGGAACACTTCAGTCAATAGCAAGAAGCAAAAAGACGGAGCAAATATCCCTGTGGGGACATCCGGTGACAAAGTATACAACTAATCCTCGTGAGGGTTTAAGTCATTCGATTCGCAATGAAAATAGGCTGCAAGGCCCTGCTTGAATGGAAGAAATCAGGAAGACTCAAACACGAGAAGTAAATTATGTTATATACGTATTTGGAACGGTTTGCACGGATGTGTTTGAGCCCCCGAAACACGCTAAGCAGAGATTGTTGCATGCATCCTGAACCCCCCACCCAAGACGCGCGATTCCAGGGAAACCTCATACCCTTATCTCATAGTCCTTGGCTGCAAATACGCTCCGCAACGAATCCATGATGCAACCATAGATGCCCAGTTCACAGTGGTGGGCCCTGCTAGACGGTTCAATGATCTTTCAGGACGTAATAGGATATATGGTTGACCAACAAGGAGTACAACCCTTGGTCATTTAAGACACATTCACGCCTCGTCGAATGATCTCGTATAGCTTAAATTCAACGAGCCGAAGAATGGTGAAGTGTACGCTTTCTAAATCTCCGATAACGAAATAAGCTATAAGACAGTTTTCAACAGCTCATAGCCAAACAATTGACAACAGAATGCCATTATGACAGGGCATACGTATCATGACCACAACGACGCTGACGATAATCTACAAGCAAATTAAGGCCCCCGATGCCGTAAAAACACCTATGGGGGCAAGCGGCAGACCAGGACAGCGCTCCGCAGGGCCGAGAAGCCCTGACACAGCGAGGCCCGCCCAGGCCGGCGCAGCCCAATCCACTGCAACCCAGCCGGGCGCGCCGCGCCATATTTGCGCCCGACCGCGCCGCCGTCGCCGTCGTAAATCGTGCGGCCGGCGGCGGCCGTCGGCCCGATGACGGACTGCCGTCAGCGGCCGGCGGCGGCGGCATCGCGGCGCCATCGCCCGAGGCCCGGGAGGAGCCCCGGCCGGGGCCGGGGCCGGGGCCGGGGCCGGGGCCGGGGCCGGGACCGGGAACGAGACTGGGACCGGGACCGGGACCGGGACCGGGGCCGGGGCCGGGGCCGGGGCCGGGGCCGGGACCGGGAACGAGACTGGGACCGGGACCGGGACCGGGACCGGGACCCGACCGGACCAGGCCGGGGCAGAGGCTAGGCCGGGGTCAGGGCGAGGCTGGAGCTGGCCGGCCGTTCCAGGGTCAGCCCGTCTCATCGGTTGCCGTGGTCGGCCGGCCCGTGGCTGCGGTGCGCTCACCCCCCAAATGTTCCTATGACGCACACTGTTTCGCTGGAGGAGTTGTGGCGTTGTGGCCACAGATCGACCATTGTGTACAGTAGATAACCATAACTGCTGCCCGGTGTGACGGGTCGGCAGCGTGGGCCGACACGGCCGGCGCCTCACATTTTGACCTGCTCCCGCTTCCATATGTCGGTGAAGTCGGCGCAGAACGGCGCCCAGATGGCGAAAAAGTCTTTGGGCGTCATCTTCTTGTTATCCTTCCGGTGTGTGCATTGGAAGAATGCGCATATTGCCACGAAGCTGGAACACGCGTCAGCTGATCAGTTGAAGCCTGTTGAAGCCAGCCTGCACAGCAGCGGGCAAAGGTGGACAACCCTGTTGTCAATGACATCGGATGTAATATGCTGATGACGACTCTCTGGTACAAGCCTGATAACGCAGGCGTGCGTTTCTGCGTCGATGTTAAGAGAACTTTGCTACACCGGAACACGCACGGGTGGCGACAGCTCTGCACAGCGATCTTCCAATTATCGTGGCAAGAAGCCTGGCCTCTCCATAAACTGCTGTTCAAAATGATATTCATCACCTGGCGAGCCTTGCTGACGCCATAAGGCGAATATCACACGGTCATCAGGGGTCTTTGAGCATATGACACGGTGCACCTGCCTACAAAACGGACTGTTGTCACAGCGCCGCATCAGTTCGCTATCGATTAATCTGACACATCAATCATGCAACTCTCGCTGGGCTGGCTCCAGGTTCCAGCAGGCCGCAAGCAGTAAATCTGGACACCCGTACTCAGCGAGTGGCATCACGGAGGGACATTCGCTCGTAAAATTTGTCAACGTCCGCAACGCCACTAAAAGCGACAACACACCAGTTTGTAGGCGACTTTCCAGGCCTCCGCCACACACAAAGCCCGACTCATCAACCATTGTAATATCCTGGCCCAACATCTGCGGCGGCCCCCGCTACCGTAAGCGGACAAGGGTGCGAGCGGCCGCGCCCGCTAGCGGCCGCTGACCGGCCGCAGCGCGTCGTCCGCCGGCGCCCCACCCTGCGCTTCCCACGTGGCACCGCCCGGCCGGCCGATGACAGACGAGCCGTCGGCGGCGGCTCCAAAACCGGGCCTGGGGCCGCGCCCCCGACGAAGACGGCTTGGGACCGGTCGGCCGCCGCCGCCGCCGCCGCCCGGCCGGACGGCGCCGCACCGGTGCCTTCCGGCCGGCGGCGGCGCTCGTAGCCGTGACCTTGGCCCGCCACAACTGACGGCCTGGCGACGACACGGCCACACCGCTCGCTCGCCCAAATCTGCCTAATCCCACCAGCCTCGCCCAGAGAGACAGAGGATACCAATGAGGTAGCGTTGTTTCATTTGTTATATTTTAGTCCAAGCAACACTTGCAGAAACTTGTCAGTGGGTGGGGTGGAAGTCCGTTGTAAGCCTAGCCTGCTTAGACCACATTCCGGCGCCTACTAGCTTAAACTGCTGGGCAGCTAGGCGTACACTGACTGACGACCATACACATTGCATTGTGGAACAGTGAGGCGGTCACTCCTCGTTTGAAGCGCCGAGCGAATATTCTTGGCACTGGTGGTCAAGCACCAGTCAGTCATGCGCCCAGAACCGTGCGTTTTCCCCGACGCCAGGGACAGACAGCTCGGGGCCCCAGCGGGCGCGCGCAGCGGCCACCCACCTGGTCTGGCAGTCCTCCAGGTTCTTCCGCTGGGCCTGCAGGTTGCTGTCAGCCTCCCGCAGAAAGGTCTCCATGTTGCCTTTGAAGGGCTGCAGATGAGCCTCGTCGGAGGCGGTCGCCACCTGCCGGACGCAGGCTCGGTCACCGGGGCGTGAGCCGGTCCCGCCGCCGACCCGGCCACAGAATGCAGATGGTACAGTGACGTGCGGGACAAACTGGCAATGTAGCCCGCTGGCTGGAGCCGGGCTCCCACGTGGCGGCGTGCGTGGCCCGTCTGGGTGGAGCCGGGCTCCCACGTGGCGGCGTGCGTGGCCCGTCTGGGTGGAGCCGGGCTCCCACGTGGCGGCGTGCGTGGCCCGTCTGGCTGGAGCCGGGCTCCCACGTGGCGGCGTGCGTGGCCCGTCTGGCTGGAGCCGGGCTCCCACGTGGCGGCGTGCGTAGCCCGTCTGGGTGGAGCCGGGCTCCTGCGCACCGGAACCGACGTTCAAATTATCTCCTTCTAGAGCGATAGAGTTCAGAGAACACGAGATACTGTGAACCTTGGAAGCGCCGCCGCATAGTGTGGAAGGAACTTACCACACATTCGAGAGTTCGAGCCTTCCCCTCTGCCCCCAAAATTCTAAACATTCAAACAGGTGTGCCAGCACTGTGGCGGAAGCACTAGCTTCACATCTCATTCAAAGCCCTGCCATTCATTGGTTTGGATAGGGTAGCAGGTAAGACCGGCAGCTGATCTTGTAGTACTTCTGTTGCGTATCGCCTGCTCATTAAAGTAGTGCAGCAGCGGAGATGGACACTCAGCGAACTACCCAGCTGCACACCACTGGACGCCGTGCGGCAGACGGCGCCGCGCGATCAGCCTGCGACCCAGCCCGTTACCCACCACCCAGATGGGCCACGCACGCCGCCACGTGGGAGCCCGACCCCACCCAGACGGACCACGCACGCCGCCCGGCTCGACCCAGACGGGGTTCGGGGAAGTCCGGCGATGCGGACGACGCCGGCGGCGGCGCCAACAGGCCGCAGACCGCTGACGAACGGCCGTCCGCCCGGGCGGCTGGGCCCACCATAGATCCATCGAGCGGCGAACGACAGGCCGGCGCCGGCGGCGGCCGCCGACAGGGGCGAGGTCAGTCGAGCGGCGGTGGCGGCGGCGGCGGCGGCATGCCCGCATGCCCATGCGGCGGCATGCGGCAACAACAGCCCTTTGCAGCCGGCTGGTGACGCAGCCGTACGGGGAGACACCGTTCGTACATACAGGCTCCCGGGAAATTCCCTACATCACGCACGCACGCACGCACGCACACACGCACGCACGCACGCACGCGCGCACACACGCACGCACACACGCACGCACGCACGCACGCACGCACGCACGCACACACGCACGCACACGTCGGGAAGCCATTCAAAACTACTCCAAGTACACCGGCAAAACAGCTAGCTATTGGAGCTTTCGGGTGCTTCGACTGCACGGTCATATAGCGCCAAGGAAAAAGACAGGTTGTCGCCAGACATTTCGATAAGGTGGTAACAACCGTCAGTCATGCTAGAATAGACTGCTTCGACCGGTGGCCCCGCTGCGTAGGGAGCGGGATAGAAGGGTGAGCCAGCATCGCCGAGGACTACCTCCGCGGTGCGTCATCCGCAGACAGGCCGGTGGATGTGTGTAAGAGGGAAGGGGGGGGGGGGGGAGGGGCGCCTCCGTAACCCACCTTCTCGGTGCGTCGCTGGCAGTCACGGAGCTCCTTGCCCAGCTGGCGCAGTTCGGTGGCCACCTCGTCAAACTTCACCTGCTGGCACCGCTCGACGTCCCACGGACTGGGCACCGGCAGCTGCCGACACTCCGTGTCGTGGTTCTGCGTCACAGGTCAAAGGAGGTCACGGGAGGTCACGGAAGGTCCGCGGCAGATCGGCGGCTCAAGCAAACATCGGTCCCACCCTGATGCCAAGCATAATGTCTTCAAGGACTCCATCTTAGCTTGTGAGGCAGTCTTGGCTGGAGCGAAACAGGTCAGTACGCGGGGACGGTGGCTTTCACGTAGGAGGTCAAAGTTCGGCTCCTGACAGACGCCAACAGCCGCTCGCGTGATCGCTCAGCCGTCGTTAGCGTCCCGTATATAATGTCAAATGATGGCATGCGTCGCGCATCCTTTTGCATGCAGCGTGCCATACTTTTCTTAACGAGCAGCTGACTGCCACGTCAAAAGCTCGTACACAAGGGCATAATAGGTATTCCCTGATAACGCTGATGCAGCACGCGGCGGGACGGCTGCCGGCGCGTCTACAGCGGACAGCTTCGAGCCATTCCATCCTGCGCAGGGGTCAACGAACGGCAAAGGCATGATGTGCACTGACATTTCTGCTAGTTGGCAAAATGGGCCAGAATAAACGAAAGATTAAATGGCGTTAACTTCCCTTCAACTTGAAAAACAAGGCACTGAAGTTCAAACTTGATGCGACCTACGGTGTGAGATTCTAACGGAGCATGACAACACAGCATCTTCAAAGTAGAGTCGACTGAAACAGCACATTTCCAGCCCGGGTCAGCAGAGACCACGCAGAGTGGACGGCAGCGTCGCCGTCACGGCCACTTACCTGGATGTATTTCCTGACGATGTAGTGCAGCAGGGTGGTGGAGTTGTCCTTACTCTTGACGTCCTTGAGTTTGCCGATGATGTCGAGCCCGAAGCCGTCCGCCTGGCCGCGCGTCCTATTGCCGCCGTTCATGTAATTGCCGAGCGCCAGGATCAGGCCGAACACGTGTTGCAGCGGCTTGGACGATGTCAGCAACTGTCGACACAGAATCAGGCGATATATTCAGGTCTATGGACAGTGAGATCAGTAGACACCAGCTGCAGCAGCTGGGGCGGGGCAGCGAGAAGTCCCGTCAGGCTTACGGACCGTGAGGTCATCAGATACTAGCTGCAGCTGCTGGGGCGGAGCAGCGAGAATTCCCGTCAGGTTTACGGGCCGTAAGATCATCAGACACCAGCTGCAGCTGCTGGGGCGGAGCATCCAGAAGTCCCGTCAGATTTACGGGCCGTGAGATCATCAGACACCGGCTGCAGCTGCTGGGGCGGAGCAGCGAGAATTCCCATCAGGTTTACGGGCCGTGAGATCATCAGACACCAGCTGCAGCTGCTGGGGCGGAGCATCGAGAAGTCCCGTCAGGTTTACGGGCCGTGAGATCATCAGACACCGCTGCAGCTGCTGGGGCGGAGCACCGAGAAGTCCCGTCGGGTTTACGGGCCGTGAGATCATCAGACACCAGCTGCAGCTGCTGGGGCGGAGCATCGAGAAGTCCCTTCAGGTTTACGGGCCGTAAGATCATCAGACACCGGCTGCAGCTGTTGGGGCGGAGCACCGAGAAGTCCCGTCGGGTTTACGGGCCGTGAGATCATCAGACACTAGCTGCAGCTGCTGGGGCGGAGCAGCGAGAAGTCGATGCACGGATGGCGAAGCCAGCCCGCAGTCGGGCCGTCAGATATCGACGGCTGTCGGGACAGACGGGCGGAGAGCTGTCAGATCTGCCGACCGCGCAACAGACAGCCTGACATATGGACGTGACGTGACAGATATACTTGTCTGGTTTACCAAGTACTGCTGATCCTCCGTCCACGGCGGCGGAAAGGAATGGAATGTAGAATATCTTTGAAGCATAGTGGAATGTTACTCAATGTGGTCTTTTTACTACTTCAGATGCAATGAAGCACTCACACCTTTAATGCGACGAAACGCGATGCAACAGCGTAAGCAGGCCGGCGGACAAAGTCCTGCTACTGCTTTTGTCAAAAAGCGCCGCGCTATGATTGGACCGAGCGAGGCAACGGGCGGACAGATCACTCCGCCGAGGGATGGACTCGTGCTATCGCTACCACGGAGAGGGATGCTGATGGGAATGACGGTCAGTTTAAGAAGTCGGTGGACCAAAGAATGATACCAAAGTGTTGTCTGTGCAAGCTTATTTTAACACAAGTCATGGAACACGTGAACGTTCGATGGTGCACGACGGCATGCAAAGAAGTGCTTCGCCTTTATCCAGCATTTTGAACTAACGTAGCCAGATCGCAGCGTCCGGATGCATTCACGCACACTCAGCCATGTTCACAACCATATCCCTCAACAAGGTAAATAGCGCTCTTTTTACTACCTAAAACGCTTCTATTCCACAGCATACAAGGACCAGGTTCAGCACACACTGGAGGCATGCCTTCAAGGTCGATGACGATGATCTGCCGCTCCGACTGTCCCGCGGACGCTGAGCGTTACGACTGCCTCGCGGACGCTGGGCGCTACGACGCTCTGCCGCTCCGACTGCTCCGCGGGCGCTGAGCGTCACGACTGTCCCGCGGACGCTGAGCGTTACGACTGTCCCGCGGATGCTGAGCGTTACGACTGCTCCGCGGACGTTGGGCGTTACGACTGCCCCGCGGACGCTGAGCGTTGCGACTGCTCCGCGGACGTTGGGCGTTACGACGCTCTGCCGCTCCAACTGTTCCGCGGACGCTGAGCGTTACGACGCTCTGCCGCTCCGACTGCCCTGCGGATGCTGAACGTTGCGACTGCTCCGCGGACGCTGAGCGCTACGACTGCTCCGCGGACGCTGAGCGCTACGACTGCTCCGGGGACGCTGAGCATTGCGACTGCTCCGCGGACGCTGAACGTTGCGACTGCTCCGCGGACGCTGAGCTCTACGACTGCTCCGTGGACGTTGAGCGCTACGACTGCTCCGCGGACGCCGAACGTTGCGACTGCTCCGCGGACGCTGAGCGTTACGACTGCTCCGCGGACGCTGAGCGCTACGACTGCTCCGCGGACGCTGAGCGCTACGACTGCTCCGCGGACGCTGAGCGTGACGCAGTGTCCGCCGACCGCGACTGATCGGGCCGTATACACCTCCTGCAGTCATCTGCTGTAACTAACGGGTGAACTCTTGAATGGGTCTGCGAATGGCCCACCATCGTCGCTATCGACCCAGAGGGCACTAGCTCACCGCCGGTTAGTTGCGACGAATGGCGACTACCAAAAATCAACATAAAAAAACACAAAAAAACAACAAAAGCAACATCCAAACAGTTAGTCGTGTCGGTGCGCGATACCTTCTTAAAATGTATGTTTATTCATTATTTATTGTTCGCTCACGCCTTTTGATTTCACATCCCTGACTACGAATGCGGCAAGGCGTAGGGTGGCCATCATGACACTGAACAGAATAATGAAACAATGAGCGGTGAACGCTAGTCATTGATTGGCGCGTGATGTGGTGTGAAATATGACGTCATGTGGCTGCATCTGTCTGGAAGCAAAATTTTGATGGTTCAGGAACTTTTGACAAAAAAGGCAAGATCACTGGCGTAGTATCTCCGAAGCATCCTCCTTAGCCCCAACACAGTTCGCTAGAAAACAGTATGTAGGGGCAGGGTCCATTAAAGTTTTGTATTCGTTTTATCCTTCAACACGCAAAAAATAATGAATTACCTGTTCAGCCAAGAAAAACCTACTAAAGTATTGTCAATTTTGAAACCATCTTCAATGGAACACTGCTATGGCCTAAACGCTAGCATAATACAAAACGTCCCAAACTGTCCAAGGTCAAATCCAAACCATGCAGAATTACCGCAGCGTAAATAGAGTAGTAACTTCTGGGAAAACAAATATGCGAGAGCTATTAGAAGAGTACAACAGAGCTTTCTATGGATGAAAGAAAAATGCGACTTCTGGCCAGTAGCATCTCTTGACGACCAAATCGACCAAGACTTACCAGCGCCAGCACTCTGCAGCGATGGCCAACGCACTTGGAATACAACGCATCATCCATAAAATGAAGACGGGACGGAACTCACAACCCCCACCGAAGTTGACACCAAAGGCTGATTCATTCTCATGATGAGAGCCCATTCAGTCCATAAACGGCCCGCGCGTTCGGAGACACTGCACAGAGCAGCACCGTCCGCAGACCGAGTCAGGTCGGGAGCCCTACCTTGCAGGTGCCCTTGAGGTTGTCCAGCTTGGCTTCAATGTTGGCCAGCGTCTCGCGGAACGACGACTGGAAGGTGAAGCAGGTGATGCGGTCGGCGAAGTGCGGCACCTGGCTCAGCTCGTACAGGAACCTGCCAGTACGGGAGTGGCGCCGGTGACACGAGCCCAGCCCCGGAGCCGCCGCCGCCCACCGAGCACCATCCGGGGTCCTGACAGGAGCCGAAGACAGGGGAGGCGCGGCCCGCGCTGGCCCGGGCCAGAGCGCGCAGGCACGGGTCGACGCTGAGCGGCGGGCTATTACCACCGACGGTCGGCTGGTGAGACAAGGGGACCCGCACCGAAGGCGCACGCACACGCTCCGCACCAGTGACCGCGCGGTCCCAAGGACGCTGCACCTACCGAGCAGGTCGGCATCTATGGCGCTTCAGCGATCAAGACGTAAGACTTAAAGTAATGCAAAGCCGGGTATCAACCCAAAAGCATGTCTGGATCTTAACCTCGCAACGTCTTAATGTGGTCCTTAACCGACTTTCTATCTTAGCAGAATTAACAGCACCATATCAAAGGCACCGCCAGGAAGCGGCATTCGCGAGAGACTGGGCGCTGCCAGCCAGCTGGCCGCCGCGGCCCCACACGTACTGTTCGGGCTTGTCGAGAGGCACGTCCGGGCTCTTCTCCACGTGCTTCTGAATGAGGCGCAGCTCGTCCTCAGTCGCCCTCTGTCGGCAGACGCGGCGGTCAGGCACGGCCACGCCCGTACAACCCCAGCTCGGGGGCACGGACAGACGCCGCCGTACACGACCCGGGGACGTCACCGACGGGGGTCAGGGGGGCTGTTGACGGAACATCTCCGACACGATCATCCTTCCGGAAGTTTATTGGAATGCTTCTCGAGACCTTTTCTGTGGAAAGTGTCCGGTCATTCGGCTTCCATTGAACTGACTGTCCCGAGTGTCTTGAAAAGCTTTCCAAGACCCAATCTGCGGAGAGCTTCCGGCCATCAGCTTCCATGGAAGCGATATTCCGGAAAATTTGAGGAGACAGCAGATTGCATAGTCCACAAAATTCCCAAGCCCTTGGTTCCCAAACATAATTTGACATAGCTGAAATGACTTAAAAGAAGACAGCATGTGGAGCCTTCCGCATTTGACACGAATTGGACAATGGCAATTGCCTTCCATTTTCCCAGGAGCCTTTCGTAAAAAGAAAATGGCATTCCAGAACAAGAATTTGATAGCTTAAGATTCAGTATGCTCTGAAGACATTCCGTCTATATAAAAAATCATTTCTGGCACCTTGCGGGCCTGTTTTTCGTCAGTGAAAAACATCAGCCACTTGCGAGCTACGCGTCGATTTAGCCGACACTCAAGACCTATCCAAAACACAGCTGTGCATCAACCAGGCACCCGACACCGCCAACGGCTACAACGGTCACGGAGCGGTACTGTGTTTGCCATGCCGCGTCCGGCTCTCACTTTCCCGCGCCCGGCTCTCACCACCCCTCGTCCGGCTGTCACCATCCCGTGCCCGGCTCTCACCACCGCCGTCCGTCTCTCACCATCTCCAGGATCTGCTCCAGCTGATCCAGGCTGAGGTCGGACGTGTCGAAGTTCATCACGGCCGACTCCACGTCGCCGATCTCTAGGTGCTGTGATGAGATCAGGATACCCACGTTCTGCGACCGCTTGCTGTCCAGCAGCTTGGCCCGCTTCACCTGGATGGCGGTGAGACCCGGTCAGCCGACTGTGGTTCTGACAGAACACCGCGGGATGCTGGCGCCGCCAGAACACCAGGGTGCTCCACCACTGGTGTGCTCCGCCCCGGTGCCACTGCGTTACCAGCTGAGCAGTGACAGAATAGGTGGCAGGCGTGTGATAACGAACGCCGAGTTCACTGGGCCCGCATCGGGTCACCGCCAGTCCCAGTTACATATTGTGGGCAATAACTCCAGTCTCCTCGTCCTTTCTCCATCAATTGTCAACGTCATTTTGCGGCAATGGACCGTGGGCTTTAAGACCATTTTCCCCAAACACTATTTGCATTTTTTCTTCGCTGTGCCCGTAAGTAAGAGCTGCCCTAACTCCCGAGTTCATAAAGAAGCTGACGTTCTTGTCCACAGATGCCTGCATTGTGCGAAAACATTGTCACAGGTGCCTGCGTTGTCTTCCTTCGCGCGACACCCGCCCAGAGCCGTACATCATCTCGCCACTGACCTGCTTCTTAGGGCTCTTAACCTCCTTCTTCTTGACGGGCTTCTTCTGGACCACCTGCCTGGCGAACAGGTCGGTGAACTCCTCCTCCTCGAACGGCTCCTCCTCCAGCCGGTCCCAGAGGAGAGCGGGCGCCGCCGGCTCGGCGCCGCCGCTCGACAGCGAGTCGGGGCCCGAGCCGGCCTCGGTCCTGCGGCGAGGCGCAGCGGCCGCGTTAGTCAACGCACTGTGGCCAGACACGGCGGACGGCCGGTCAGACGAGGTCAGCAGGTCAGCGGTGTGGCTGTCGCCCACAGGACGGCGCGGCGGCGACACCGGGAGACGTCGTGCCACCCCGTGACGCACCGAACGTACCGAGACACACAGCAGCACAACACCGCAAAACGACAGTCAGACGTGATGAAGGTCAGCCGCCAAGGCATAGCAGAAGGACACCCACACCCTTCGAAATCTATAACTGGGTCCCATCGTACATCCAGGTCTGCCATAGCACACGCTGTGTTTGGGTGCAAAGCTGCTGGGCCCTTATAACGGGCCTGGTGTGTCATCCACACCAAGAGGCCGTCCGGTGTAATGAGATGATAATTGCGCGGTGTATCTATGCCCATCCATGACTTAGGCCGGTAAGTGGCCGTGTTTTTTGCCTTAAGCCGCTTTATGAGAGCTAAGCGGCTCTGGTAGCGCTGTCAGAACGCGCTGGAGATTACCACACACCGAGATGCAACAGCCAAGCCCCGGGTTACATGCCGCGGCATGGCCGAACCAGGGCTTTAGGCGATCGGACAGACGTATCGGTGCGCAGTGCCAGCGCCCCTCACCCGTCCGGGGCTGCGTCCGGCTCGACGGCGGGCGCGGGCGCGGGCGCGGGCGCGGGCGGCGGCGGCGCCGGGATCTGGATCCGCGTCCAGTACAGCGGCCGCATCGGCACCTTGGGGTTCACCGGGCCCTTCCGCGTCACTGCAAAACAACGCCGCTCAGCTGTGCGGGGCGAGCTGAGAGCACGGCACAACAGGGGGCGGGGGTGCGATGGGGGGATAGAGGGGTTCACTGTCAGATCACCAGACATCCAGCATGTCAACATGACAAAGGATGATAAAGGGGAAGTTGGCAAAAGAACAACGAAGCGATGAACGTTTCCTCGAAGGCCTGAGGAGTGAACTATTGCATAATATTTCGAGACCTATCACAAAACTGAGTAGAGATTACATATTAGGCGCACCTTCATGCCATTGTTTTAATCAATACCGTTACCTTTGTCGGAAGAAATGCCAGTAGTTTACAGCATTGCACTGACATCATTAACAGCATGCCACAATTTGAGTCTATTGTCTTTAAATTAGGTGCGTCCATGGTACTCGATTAAAAAAAGAAGTTTAAAAGCACATTTGCTCTTATGAGTTAAAGTTGTTATGCTGAGTTGGCGACTTTCATTTATATTGAAAAGCACGAAATGGACACAACCTGGAAAATATCTGCAAAAAATAAATAACAAAAGTAGCGGCATGGCAAGCGACATAGGGACCTGAAATTATATTGAGCTGATGACTGACATGGTGTACAAGCGAAATTGCGTCATGCGCTTACTTCACTATCCAGGTTAGAGCAAGCACCAAGACATATCAAATGAAAGCAGAGAAAAAACGAAATAAAGCAGAGGGGACGGGAAGGCGCCGAATCATCCCCATACCAAGCCATGGCGTCCACCCTTCACCCAAGTAGCACCGCCAAGTAGCCCAAACCACGGCCGGCGACACATGAACGCGAGCAGCAGAAGGAGAAGGCGGGGTGACAGCCCCCCTCCCCTCCCCCCCCCCCCAGCGCCAGACACCAGCAGCGGGTGACACGAAGGGGCGAAAGAGGCTCCGCTCACCTCGGCCGGAGCCAGCGGCGCCAGACACACAGCCTGCAGTACAGAGACATACGGGTCACGCCGCGCCGCTCGCTCACTGGACGCCGCGGGGCGCGCGCGCCGCGGCACCACGCGCCACACGCTGTGACGACCAGCTACGCGCTACAACACCACTCAGTGCGACGAGACGTGATCGAGACCGGAAACGTGACAGGACGGCATCGCCGAGCAGACCGCGAGCACGACCTGGTGCGCTACTGCCGGGGAGACAGCGCCGTGGGGCTCTGAACAGCTGTCTAAGCCGGAGAGTGACAAGGTGCTGCAACCTGGGTTGTCATACAGAACAAAACGTAACGAAGACAGCTTCAAGGCAAAAGGCAGGCACGAGGCATAAACATAAAGCCAACCAGGTCAACTTAGCTGTCACTCGCACAGTCAAGCCACGCCGGCCCGGTGTGCTCCGTACCAATCAACCTCACAGACTGGTGTGCATGCAACGACGATCTAGAGGAGGAGCAGCCATCACCCGCCGCCGCCGGGCCGGTCCAGACCGAGATGCAGGCCAGACCTCAGCAGCCAGTGGAGTGCTCACCTGCCGTCTGGCTGCTCCAGCCTCCGGGCGGCGGCGGCGGCAGAGGTGACGGGCCGCCAGGGGGCGGCGGAGGAGGAGGCGGCCCAGAGCCCGGAGGCGGCGGAGGAGGAGGAACAGACCCGGGGATGGGCGGGGGAGGTGGCGGAGGGGGCGGACCGGAACCCGGCAACGGCGGAGGGGGCGGAGGTGGAGGAGGGACGGCACCAGGCATGGGCGGTGGAGGTGGAATAGAGCCCGGCACGGGTGGTGGCGGGGGCGGCGGGGGAATGGAACCAGAGCCAGGCGCGGGAGGGGGCGGGGGCGGGGGCGGAGGCGGAGGCGGAGGAGGAATATACGGCGGAGGGGCGGTGATGCCGGGTTTGGGGGGCAGGGGTGGTACTGGTACTGACTTCGAAGGGCTGGACGCTGGGGAAGGGCCTTTGGAGGAGGGAAGGGATGTTCTTGACACAACTGGATCCGCGCCGAGAGGCAGCTCCTTGTTCTCGGACGATGGCGAAGCAAAGTCGGTTCTCATGTTTTTTGTAAGCTCCTGTAAACAGAAACCAACTCTAATTCCGGGCATCTGCCTGCTGGTGACTTATTTGATGCTGCTGTCAAACAGCAACGCCAGTTAATGCACGTCCGTCAAAAACTAGTAAAAACAGTCAGAGACCTGCATCGTACAAAATGCAAATATTTTAGCTCTGAAGGAACATAAATAATTTTGTCACTGCAAAACCTATTTCTAGATACCCCTGCGCTACAATAAAGCAACAAGGTAGAACTATGGGGCTTCCAGCAATTTCTCCCGCTTGCGTACATGATCACTTTATTTGGCCATGCGCTATTCTGACCTGGAGACCAGCCAAGGTCTTGTACTTCTCCAGCTGTTGCTCCAGCAGCTTCAACTTGTCCTCCAGCTCGGCCAGCTTCAGGGCCTCGGCGCTGGACTGCTCCGGTGGCGCCACCTGCTGTGACGACGGTGGCGCCTCCTTCTCCACAGGCGGGTCGCAGGGAGGCGCTCGGACCGGAACATCTGTCAGAGCGCACAGCCGTCAGAGCACAGTCAAGACTATTGCGCTGATTACTGGGACGTCCAGGTACGCCGATCAACCGATGGAAGGCTGGGTTGGGCTTCAATTAGCGAAGACCGCTTACAATGAGCATACAATTACAGCTCGAAACAAGTTGTGAACCCAATAACACCATTACAGCCAGCGTGGCAATAAAATAATGCAGGCACAGGGGCATCGGTGCCACAGCAATGGCTGGAGGCGACATTACGTTAGAAGAGGGTCAGATCGCCACATGACAAGTAGAAAGAGTGCACATTTCTCCGGAAACAGCGCACGAAGCGTTAAAACACCAGAGACGTTCCAGTCGCCTGCGTTCAGTTGCGTGTGTCGCCACAGCTGTGAGCAAGCCTAGGGTTACTCCATGCTAGCCTGCACAACGCTGCGGAAGAGCAACAAAAGAAAGTACGTCTTCAGAGCATTCATTGATGCCGCGCAACGGTCACCGAACACAAAATCTCACCGTTGGAAATCCATAAGGCGACGGCTTACGAAGGTGCCATCACATCCCCACTTTGGAAGGAAAAGAGGGCTAAGAAGAGAGGGGAAGAGGGCATGACACGCTACTATACGTGGCCCTACCGGCGGTGCACGGAACTCGACGAGTCGAGCCGTCGCGGTCTCCCTCCCCCCCCCCCCCCCCAGCCTTCCTGGGACGGAGAGGTCGCGGACCGCGGGCCGGCGTACCTGAGCCGAGCCTTCGCAGTCTTCCCTCCCCCCTCCAGCCTTCCCGGGACAAAGAGGTCGCGGGCCGCGGGTCGGCGTACCTGGGTCGAGCTTCCGGTCCGGGGCGCGGCGCTCCTGGTCCAGGGCCATGTCCAGGGTGACCGGGTCCAGCGGTCCCGACCGCCGTGGTCCGGACGCCGGCGACGCGTCTGCCCGGTGGCGCACAGGCACATTGGCACGGATGCTCAGCGGCGTCAATGCACCGAGGGCACACAGTCAGGCCCGTACAACGACGGTATAACTAAGTAAATCAACGTTTTGATGCATACTCGGTTAATCCAGAGCGACCCCGTATTTCGACGCCGATGTGTTGTTTGTCGTGGCTTCCAATGACACCTGATACGTGCACAGCTGCCCGCCCTCGGCCCTCCCATACACTGGCGTCACCCGGCGCCACAGCCGCCGCGCCGGCGCGTACCAGGGTCGGACGGCCGGGCCGCCGCCGGGCTGAACGCCGACCACACGGCCGACGGCAGCCGGCGCGGCGTCGACGCCTGGGAGGCCGGCAGCTCCGAGTGCGCCCAGTAGTACATCAGGTCCGGCTGGCGGCGCAGAACCGGGCGCGTCAGGTCACGGCGGGGACACAGCAGAGGGGGGACACAGCGATAGGGGGGGGGGGGGGCGTCAGGTCCGGCTGGCGACGCAGAACCGGGCGCGTCACGTCACAGCGGGGACACGGGGACGGGGGAGAGGGGGGTCAGATCCGGCATGGAACATAGAGGTCAGTAAGATCCTGGGGGCGGGGCACGCCAGGTCCGGTGCTAAATATGCCAAGGGGCGTGTCACGGACACGGATGGGTCCGTTAGGTCCGGCTGAGGAACGGCATGGCCGTCACGCCCGGCTGTGGACACAGTGGAGACCGGCCATACAATGTGAATATACATGAAGTTTCATTGCAAAAGCTTATCCACTACGGCATAGATAGGTGCATGACCCATGAAATGCGAATTCACGAGTGACAATTAGGATGCGGCGAATTCATCGAGTTCGGGCTGCGCAATACACATTTTATTCTGTCGCACATACAGGGGTATTAACTGCTGCTTTACGTGTGGGTAATATATATGAAAAACTTCGATGGGCCGCTTTAAAAACGCAATCGTGATCTCTCGCCTCGGTTTGAAGGAAACACGCATGGCTCCGAGTAACCCCTGCAATGACGGACAATGGAAGGCTGTTGACGTTTGTCAAGCCACGACGAAAATGTCGTCGAACCTCTACTGCTAGCCCTCATATCCTCAGTGGGATGATTTTGACAGCCAGAACAAGACCGCGAAGACTTTTATCACTTACAAACAGTGCGAACGATGAACAGGTGTCTGTCGCATCGTTGTGGCATACCAGCTGATGCAGACATTATCTTCATGTGGTCATCAATAGGTAATAAATTAAGCTTCGATTACTTTCAGGTAGAGGTTCCGCACTCAGAATTGTCACAAGCTTCGCCGCGGTAGACCCGAGACAGCATCCAGCACTGACACCTCCAGCCTACACCCACCTGCGCCGGCGCAGCCGGGCCCTGGCGTCGGCAGAGAGGCTTCGACTCCCGCTCCGCCGGCCCAGCACCGGACCTTGCCGTTGCTCACGGAAGTCGCATGCAGCGGTCCGGACCGTCATTGCCCCCTCCCCCCGCCCCCCAGGCGTCTCAGCCCTGTCTCCAGTCACCGGTCGGCAGTGTGGTTAGGCTTGCTCAAAACCGTACTCGCTGCACGAGCAGCCAAGCCGGGCTCGCCAGAGAGTGGCACCGGCTCGCCTCGCTGCACCAGCCGCAGAGCCGAGGTCGCCGGCGGGTGGCACCAGCTCGCCTCGCTGCACCAGCCGTGGAGCCGGGCTCGCCGGAGAGTGGCACCGGCTCGACTCGGCTCGAGGCGAACGGAGCACACTGGATTACTGCTGTCTTAAAGGAAGCCGCTATCGCCCGGTTTGCCCGGACCAGCAGCGGTAAAACACTCGCCGCGCCCCGATGCCTCATCAGCCGCTATCGTACATCTACGCTGCAGCGGCTCTGTCGCAGATCTAGATGGAGGGCCGCGGTTCACTTTCACGAACGCGGCGTTTCTTGCGGCGCAGCGGTACTACGTGATGAAAGCCGCAATTACAAATGATGCCATTGATTGCTCCGTTTTGAAACGGTCGCGATAGCTGCCATGCGGGATAGGAACATTCCTCTGAATAGCCTTTGTCCGGGTGTGTTGTATTAAGCGGGCTAGGCGACCGAGAGGTGCTACGCATGCATCGTGACCTAAATGTGTTACAATGACGTTCATGATCAAAAGAGATAGTTCACAGCAAACTTAACGTTACACCGTTTGCGCGACGGCTACACATGCAGTGACGCATTGCTAAGACCGGATCGTGAGCCTTCCCGAAAGCAACCACAGCAAGAGCGTTCATTATAATTCACCTTAACAGAGTCTACTATAGCTTTGTGCTGCCTCGTGCGATACGACACATGAATCCACTACAAAGCCGTAAACGAGCCCAAGCGTACAACCGTTTACGCCTGTGAAAATCCTGACCCAGCGCCGGCGGCGAGGTTGGCCAGGGCCGCCGGCTGGCCGACGGTCAGTGCGGCCGGACGGCAACAAGCCGGCGCCGGTCGAGGAGCGGTGCGGCCGGCGCCGGCCCACCGCGGCCCCACCGCTAACCCGCCGGCAGACGCCGCCGGGGGGGGGGGGGGGGCGGTGCCGCCCGCGAGGGAGGGGCAGGGGCTCCAGCCGCGACCGGCGATAGCGGCTGCCGCTCGGGCCGCTCGACGGGGGCGTGCCGGCCAACAGACCGGGTCGCACACGCCCGTGTCGCCGCTCACCACGGCCGGAGCAAACACTGCCAGACCTCACCACCGCAGCAGAGGACCGGACCACACGCGGATCGGGTACCGATCGATGACAGGCTCAGCCGCGGCGCCATCAACACGCCGTACCACACAAGGCCAGCTGGACCGGGCAGCGAGCAGCGATCTGTTCTCCCGGCCAGTGGAGACGCCGGAGCATGGCCAGCAACGCCTCCCGGCGGGCTGAACGGCACCACGTCGACCAATGTGACGAGGCAGCTTTGTCGCATACCGGGCCGCATCAGTCACTGCTGTGTCTGACGCCGCTCTAGCGGCCGAACTCACTAAGGTGTGATACAACCCACGCGAAGGAACGAAAATATGACACGTATTTACGACATTGAACCACATACGAGTTTGTGATGATGTCCAATAAGGTACCATCCGAGAAATGAGGTCATACATGCTGTTATACTTTCACTTGCGCTTTCAATGCATACTAAGAAGCTAGTAACAAAGTGCTGGCCAAAGTGTGTGAGCAACATGCGGATGATTCTACGACCAGGCCGCGGGCGCACCGCGGTCCTCACACGTGATTTTCATGACGCCTGCACAATTACGAGCAGGTGCTTATGTTCACACATCTAGTTTCATAACTTGGGTACAGCTGCCAAAAGGGGAGCATCCCACTGTCAATGACCGTATGCCACTACTTGCACCATACTCCTCTGCTAGCAGGTGGATTGGCACATGGTAATTGCGGACGGCCGCCCACAGCCGCGAGGCAGGCGGCGGGCGTGTGCTCCAGACGCACCAATGGGAAAACGGCACCCGCGCCACAACATCCCCGACCGCATTCACATCTTGGTAATTATGACGGCAATTCTACTTATCAGCCCCTGTATTGCACGACAAAGGCTACGAGGGCCGGGAGACGACCGCAGCCGGCAGCAAAACCGCACGGTACACAGAGCCCGAGCTGCAGAGGCGGTCCCCGCCGCCAACCGCCAGCCGGCAGTACAGCAGCACGGTACACAGAGCCCGGGCTGCAGAGGCGGTCCCGCCGCCAGCCGGCAGCCGGCAGTACAGCAGCACGGTACACAGAGCCCGGGCTGCGGAGGCGCCGTGGGCCGCCAGCCGGCAGCCGGCAGTACCGCAGCATGGTACACAGAGTCCGGGCTGCAGAGGCGGTGTGGGCCGCCAACCGACAGCCGGCAGTACCGCAGCACGGTCCACAGAACCCGGGCTGCGGAACCGGCGCGCGCCGCCAGCCGGCAGTACAGCCGCACCACAGAGCCCGGGCTGCGGAGGCGATCCGCGCCGCGTCGCCGGCCGGCAGCAGAGCGGGGAAGTCGGCAGGCCGCTCTGGTCCGGTGTCCCGGGACAGGTCACCGCCTGTCCTGGTGACAGGTCATCGCCCATCCAGGGACGGGATTGGCCTCCCCGTGCCGCCGCACTCCGGGGCGCGTCGGGGAGGGCACCGGCGCAGCTGTGGCCGTGTGATGTGGTCTGAATGCCACGACTGCCGACAGCACAAGCGGCACGTGCCGCCTCTACCGGGACGCCGCCCGAGTCAGGTCCGGTCTGACATCATCGCCGACCCAATCCAAGTCACGCCGAGTCACAAGGAGTCACGAGTCGTCCGAGTCATGCCCGCAAACTGAGCGGCCCTTCGTCAGCCCCGGAGCGCCGCGCCCACGACACCAGCGTCGCCTCGCGCCGCCTGCGCCGCCGGTCCGCCGTGCTGGCCACACCATGATACGGTGGTATGCGCGGCGCGAGGAGGCGCCGGCCAGCGGCGAGCCGCCGGACGCTGTGTACACGCCACACCGGCGGCCGGCAGTGGGCGCTCATTCGCCGTCACGGAGCAGGGCTGCTGGCGGCGGCGGGCCGGCCCCCCACCGTCCCGCTACCGTGGGGATGTCAGCCACGGCCAGCCGAGCCGCCGGCACAACCGAACATAGATAGTGCGGCCATTGAATGGAGGCCTACTAAATCCCCAGACTCAACATTATAACCTACTTGTGCTCAGGGGGTCCCAAGTCAAAATAATAGGTCCAAACCAGTGACCTTGTTAAGACTTCTGAAAGCCTCTGTGCGTGCGTGCGTGCGTGCGTGCGTGCGTGCGTGCGTGCGTGCGTGCGTGCGTGCGTGCGTGCGTGTGTGTGTGTGTGTGTGTGTGTGTGTGTGTGTGTGTGTGTGTGTGTGTATATGTGTGTAGGGAAATAGACAAGTAACAATTGTTAAATTGGCCTGGTAAGGAATGTGTTACCTTAAATGTTTCAGCGTTCCTACAGCATACGTGGACCCGATATGCATTAAACTTTTGATCAGCCTTGTCGTTATATGACTTATTAGCTTATCATATTGACTACAACTGGGTCTGGCTATGTCGTGATCAAACATATAGGTGGGTTAACGTATGACCCATTCTGAGCCGAGTTAAAGCCACTTCGTGTTTGCGTGATTGGCAGAATGAGCTGCAATTGGGGTTTAATATTACACAAATGACGTGTTTTTGTTTTCACGTCCCACAACCTAAGAATTCCACTTCCAACAGCTGTTTTTAAAGGCTGAATAGTCTTTTGTAGATGGTGAAATCGGGGTGATGTGTGCTATTTCAAGTCTTGACTTTGCCAAACGATCGGCTTACCTGTTGCCAGGAATATCGGAATGACCAGGAATCCAGAGAAACATTATTCATTTTCCACGCATAATTGGTTTGGTGAACGACTGTACTTCAAAAACTAAATTCGATATGGAATTCAGATTTCTAATGGCTAGAAGTGGCGACTTAGAGTCAAAGCATATTATCGCATTATTAAGTTCGTGGGATTTGATGGGGATCAATGCTCGCGATATTGCGAACAATTCTACTGGCAAAACAGAGAGGGGGAAAAAAGTCTGAATGTCTTTTGAATTGGGCCACAGAACACCGCAGCCACCTTGTTTTCAAACCTGGGTCCATCGGTCTCGTAAAACCTGCCGAACGAATGATTTGCCTTGAGCTCGTTAAATCTTTATTTGATGTCACATGACGGCGCTTGTTTTAGTATCCTCATAAAGAAATTATATGTCATGTGGTGGAGACGGCCAGAAGGGGAATGGACTGGGTCGCGTCGCTATTTCTGAATCCGATGTCTTTATCCCGTACCGTTCGGAGAGTCGCTGTATTTGGATCCCCGTCATGAAGTTTGCTAAATGCACTAAATTCCGATTATTCCAACGTTGTGCTCAAACAAGAGCTAAAATGGCGGTTGAAAAACGATTTAGTTTGAAAAGAATGCTTGAATAAAGTTTTTTGGGATTTCATTGCTAAATAATAAAAACACTGGCTTTGCCAAGAAAGTACATAAAGGAGTCATGCGTGAAGCTCCAGTTACCGATCACAGCGGAGCGTTTTGGATAGCATCAATACGCCCTTGATGCAAGCAAACGAGGTATGCACATAAACGAATTATTTTCTAGTGTTGATCAAATGACAGTGTTGAAAAGAAGGGCGAGTGTTTTTCTGTCTCCACCCCATTGTGTGGAAGACAGAGCGCGGAGGATATTGACACGACGCTGGGAATTCATTCTGATCTGGCCAGGATGTTTTCTAAATTCAGGCGGAAATAAGTTATGCCAAGGAATGTGTAAAGATTGAGTTCAAGAAGAACTGCCCTGTTAACAGAGGTGGATCTAAGAATCGATGCAATGATATGTTATTTCGTGTGAAAAAGATACCAATGAATCAACTACGATGGTTGATTCGTCTACCCATATTTTCAAGTCTCATGAATCACACCATTCTGAAATGCTGTGAGCGCCAACTGAGCGACTTGAGCAGCTCTGTCTACAGACTGATGAACATGCCAAGTTGCTACGTCTCCAATGAGTAATGAACAGTACGTTTACTGAAATAATGTTTACAGCGATGTCATCAGGCATTGTGACGAAAATGTTAGTGAAATCACGCTCCCTTGGGGTACACCAAATTTTTTGGTTGTAAGGGGAGAGAGAAATGTTCGAACGCAGACCTGAAATGTTCTAGGCTGTAAGAATTTTCTCATGAAGACAGCCAGATTTCTTCGTATTACTTTCGTTTGTGAATTAGGTTTAAGAGAGTGGAATGATGTACCATCTTCAATGCAGCTGTAACATCCAGGAATACTGACAGTGCGCGGTTTTCTTCAAATCTTTTCAGATACTGTTTGTAATCATAACGAAATAATCTGCAGAACTGCGTCCTTTTCGAAACCCCGATTGGAATGGGTAGAGTTGGGAGGAAAGCTTTAGAAAATATAGAAAGCATTGGTTCACGAGCCGTTCAGTTCACATGCGCAGCTTGTGAGGTAATCGGACGATGGCTAGCTGGATTGGTGCAAGATTTCCCTCGATTGTGAATACAAATGAATAATGAATGAGATCAGCCTTCAGAAACATACCGTTTCTCCATGCCTGATTTATACATTTTAGCAAAATTTACAGAGATATAGGGGAATATTTCTGAAGAAATCCTTGTGGATTCCGTAGGGCCCGATCGAAGAGTTTCCTGACTGGGTGATAGCTAATGAAGTTCTTGGAGCGTGAAGGGCCTGACGTAATATTCTATAGAATCTAGTTTGGTGTTATATGATTGGAACAACTTACTGACGCGAAGATGCTGTTCCGCTGAACAAATCAAATGTGATGGTACACTGGCATAACGATTCGCGAACTGGAGAACTACCTCATTTGGGTTTACATAATCGTTATAACGTTTGTCTAGGTGTAAAAAGGGCGCTAATTGGGTCCCGTTTACTGGTAAAAACTCTCTTCCATCACGTGATCCTCCCCGAGGCACCGGTGCCCGGATCGGCAGCCCCGGCCCGGCCACTCACCCTGAAGACGGACTCGAGCGGAGCTGAGCTGTCCTCAATCTGATGCAGCACGCCGGCGGCCAGCATGTGCGTGAGGAACTGGCCGGCCAGGGCGCGCAGCTCGGCCTCGCCCAGTGCTGGTCGCCACTGAGGCTCCTCGCTAAACGACGAGATGAACCAGTTGACCAGCATCTGACCTGCGGACACCGAACACACACTCATACACAGGTCAGGTCGGATCAGGTGGCGTGGTGCGTGCGGGAGACGACGATCTGGCGACGGACGCCGGGAGGGGGGGGGGGGGGGGCAACGGTTGGTTACGAGTCACACGCTCACCAACACGGTCGAGGGGACGATTCATAAAAAATAATAATGCATGTTTGCCGTCGTGCATTAGTTCAGCACAAGCCCGCCCGCCCACCCACATTCGTTGCGACCTATATGCAGGTGAACACGGCACTGAGTACGTCGCAGCTTACCACAGTGAACAAAACCCCTCATCGAATTCGACCGCACATGCTGTATGGATGCACTGTGCCTTACTGAAGAACCACCGATATCACATAAGCAAGCTACTGCACCACACTCACTCGCTCCGTCCCGAGGACCGCCCGGTTACTGGCAGCACGACCCGCGACCGAAGCACACACGCTGTCATGGCGTGGTGCAACACACCCAGCGGACCGCCTCGACGCTCTCCGAGCGTTGTGCCATGCCAACAATCAACGGGAGCTGCAATCGGCGCGGTGCAGCACCGCTACGTCACAGGTGCAACGCATACGCAACACAACACCCGCAAACAAGCGCCCGCCAGCGCGCACGTACACCGCAGGTATGCGCAGCTTTTACGGTTCAATTTCACGCTTTTTGCACGGCTTCCCAAGCGGCCGAGTCACCGAGACGGCCGGCGCCGCGCCGCGGGGACCTGGGGCGGTCCCGTCGTCGCCGCGGAGTCCCCCATATTCAGGCCCGCACCTTGCACCGAGCCCTGCAGAGCTGATGACCCGGGTGGGAGCATTCGACACGCTGGCACGCCATGACCGGACCCTTCGTGTGGTCCCGGTGGTGGTGCAGCAGCCAGCATACCATGAACTCCGCGTGCATGGCTGGGACAGTGAGTGCACCGCGAAAGCGCTGGCGGCTGTTGAATTCTGACAGACTTGCTCGGTAATGACGCAGTGCGGACAGCGCAGTTCTGGAACGCACCAATGGCTGCGGCTACGTGGCCCGGTATATGGCGGTGCACGGGCCCGAGGACCGAGCTGGCAGCGGACAGAGCCACGCATTCCCATCCCGGTGGCATGTCCACCACAACGTCCCACCTGAGTGCGTAATGGGCGGGCATACCCCCTCCCCCAACAGTTCGTGCCTCCTCGGCTCCACGCCTCCTCACGTCACGCCCTGATCCACTGCATGTGGCGCGGGCCCAGCACGCGCGCCACGTGCATGCCAGCCAGCACAATACGGCCGGCACCGCTCCAAGACGCCTTGCGATCCTCCGCGGGCGAACACTCCAGCTGGGTTGGCAGGCACGGCGAGGGAAGGAGAAGGGGGAGGGGGAGGGGGAGGGGGCTGCGGCGGCGTAACACCGATGACCGACGGCAAAGGGGTTCGGGGGACGTCGAGCGACCGGGCAGCACGCCCACCGCCGCAGGCACCAGCCTATCCCACGGGACGGCGAGGGCCGACGACAGACGGGCTTGAGGGACGCCGCGTGGCCGCGGACAGCACCGCCCACCGCGGCGGCCAGCCCCTCCCACATGGCGAACATAACGCAAGGAAGGTTTAATCACCGCCAAAGAATAGCTGCACATGCAGACTGACCAAGCAAATTCACGCTACGGTCACAGGGAATACGACTTAAAACTATTACTTTCCCATAAGATCACGATAAAAAACAACTGAATAAATCGTCAGCAAGGGGAATAAGCCCCAATACGTGAGACCATATCAACCAGTGCCACAACAAAAACGGTGTGAATACCAGAACAACCTACTGCGCGTATATGCCAAAAAATCGATCACACATACCAGGTGTCTACTCTGAGGCCAGCCGTGCGTGGTGCTAAGTCGAGCTGACTACAAATACTGTCAAGCTCCTCACAAGCTGACAAACGTCACCACCAGCCACTGTGTTTGGAACCTAGTGAGTCCCGGTAAATGCACGTCGCTCCAAGCACTCAACCGAGGCATATTTGACACCAAACGGTGCTCAGTTGGCCGATTATCAGACACGCGGGCGGTGCAACGGCCAACCACGGCTCGCGCCATGGGCATGGAGTGCCTTCATACCACGCCATCATTTTTACCTGATTTCCACCCGAGGAAGTCGTTTGTCCGTTGCTCTCCGGCTCCGCTCTAACACGCCAGGATTTGGCATTAAGTCGTTATCACTTACGGGCATAAACTGGCAAGAACGCTGCACCAAAATATCCATAATGCACGGCTGCACAACGCAATAATAATTCACGGGTGAAACCGCCGCGTCCGCGTCCTTCACCCGGTCGATCATGCCTATATAAGGGCATCTGAAATCGGTGTCGGACACGAGACACGGCCGCTCCAGTTGGCACCCGTCCAACGGTCGGCGCTCCCACACCGACCTCTAGCGCGGCAGCCAACGCAGTGCCTCCCGCCCGGTCCTGGTCCTAGCCCCGGCCCCGGCCCCGGCCCCGGCCCCGGCCTCGGCCCCGGCCCCGGCCCGGCCCCGGCCCTGGCCCCGGTCCCGGTCCTGGTCCCGGTCCCGGTCCCGGCCCCGGTCCCGCCCCGGCCCCGGCCCCGGCCCCGGCCCCGGCCCCGGCCCCGGTCCCGGTCTCGGTCTCGGTCCCGGTCTCGGTCTCGGTCTCGGTCTCGGTCTCGGTCTCGGTCTCGGTCTCGGTCTCGGTCCCGGTCCCGGTCCCGGTCCCGGTCCCGGTCCCGGTCCTGGCCCCGGCCCTGGCACAGGCCCCGGCCCCGGTCCCGGCCCTGGCCCCGCCCCCAGCCTCGGTCCCGCCCCCGGCCCCTAGCCCCGATCGGGTTTGGCTCACCGCTAGACACGTGCTGCCAGCGCTCCCCGTCATGGGCATGGTCCAATCGCGTCAGCACACTGGCTCCGTCCGGGCAGATCACGGCCTGATAGGGCTCCACCACCACCGGTCCGGCGGGCCCCGCCGCTGGTGTTAATCCGTTCACACGTAAATCACGGAGGGGGTGACGCTCAGCACGCGACCGCACTGTCACACAACCGAAGAGTCGCGTCAAACAGCACCACTGAGTAATATCGGCCCGTCACATCGGTGATGGGTTTTCAGTGAGCCACAACGCTACAGCACGAATCCCACGAGCGCTGCCAAACGGCTCCTCACCAGGACACTCCAGCGCTCTGTCTCTCGGCCGCCCTGAAGCCGTCCTGTCTCGACCAGCGGCGGCCCCGAGCCGACGCCGTGTGCTGACTGAGTCCGGGTGTGCACGTACCGGGGCGCGGCGAGGCGACACGCCGGCGGCCGGCGGGCGCCAGTGAAATGAGCGGCGCAGCCGGGCAGCCCGCTGCAGACGGCGGCGGTCAAGGACGGTCCAGCACTCCACCGAGCCGGCACCGAGCCGGTGCACGGCCTGCCCGGCCGTCCGCTGAGCCGGCACACAGTCTGCCCTGCCCTCCGCAGAGACGGCACACAGCCTGCCCTGCCCTCCGCTGAGCCGGCACAGTCTGCCCTGCCCTCCGCTGAGCCGGCACACAGTTTGCCCGGCCCTTCGCAGAGACGGCGCACAGTCTGCCCGGCCCTTCGCAGAGACGGCACACAGTCTGCCCGGCCCTCCGCTGAGCCGGCACACAGTCTGCCCGGCCCTCCGCAGAGACGGCACACAGTCTGCCCGGCCCTCCGCAGAGACGGCACACAGTCTGCCCTGCCCTCCGCAGAGACAGCAACACAGTCTGCCCTGCCCTCCACACAGACGGCACACAGTCTGCCCGGCCCTCCGCAGAGACGACACACAGTCTGCCCTGCCCACCGCTGAACCGGCAGAGCCCGGTCAATGGCGCTGTCGATAGTGCGTAGCGCTCTGCCGGCGGTGACAGCGCACTGCTGAGATCTGCAGAGATCTGCACTGCGCTCTACGCAACTCCAGTATTACCAACTACGGTATCCCTCATAAACATATGTCGGCAAATACGCACTGCACACGGCCAGCAAGGACCGCGGAGCTTTTCTTTCTTGGCGCTACAAAACCTATATCACGTTCTCATCAAATGCGGGGGTCCGAGAATCTGTCGATCCGTCAGACAGCGAGCTGCCGGCGGTGACGACGACGACATACGCGACTCATCCATAACAGCCTAACCCCTCATCCCACGGACAAGCAAAGACCGACATGCAGGCTGCAGCAGTACCACTATCGCGCTCCACATATGAGCACTATGGCATACCACTGGCGGCATTCACGATCAACGACGGTCAATGCCACAATGCACCAAGAAAGCCCACCGAACTAAAGCCGACGGTCGAATGCGCTGCACTCAACGCCCGCCTTTAATTCCAAGGTGAAACCGGCTGCACCGAAATACGTGCAGTTTCAGGATATGAGGTCGAGGTATGTCTGTACGCCGTTTTAGCGCAAACTGCGCGAAGGGCGAAAGATAAGTACTATTATCACCCTTCATCACGCGTTTGTGGCACACCGATACAACCACCCATGCTGGGGATGGTCAAAACACAAGAGCACTACGCAGACCTCATGACATTAAATAGTGCATAATGTTGCTGAGTTCCCAACAAAATCATGTAAGTGCTCTTCCACAGTTTAGGCGAGACCGCAGCTGCTTGCGAAGCACTTTATTGTCGAGCTGTCACGTTCAACTTTATGTGGTGATCTACTCTGCCTTATGGCTCACGCTAGACTTGTCAGCTATGTCTTCAGTCACTGAGCACCACACAACGGCCTGCACACATGAGCCTACGGGCACGACAACGCCGCGTTGATAACCCACACGCCGGGCTCCATGCCTGGTCGACACTGGCTCATGACGCACGAGCAGCATGGACCGTCCCACCCCGGGCCTCGTTAGACCGCCAGAGCCAGTCCCAGCCCGCGTCAGCCTGCAGCTACTGTTCACGCGCGGCCTGTCCGGCCTCCGTCCGCCTGCGGCCACTGTCCACGCGCGGCCTGTCCGGCCTCCGGCCGCCTGCGGGCACTGTCCACGCGCAGCCTGTCCGGCCTCCGT